TGTTACCGCAGGAGGGAAAACATGAAAAAATGTCGAAAGCTCCTCAGACGCAGCACGGCGCTGACAAATCACACCAGTTATTGCTCTGCGAGTACATGCGCGCGAGCGAGTGTTTGCGTGTGAAGTTGGTGCTTTTGTCCTCCTGAGGGTGCTTTGGCAGGCTGGCAGGTGCAAGCAATGGGAAGCTAGCAAGCGACTGGCATGGCCATGGATTCAGCAGATGGCCTTTCACTCAAAAAGCGTTCTCCCCATCGGTCCTCACTTTCTCTCTCTCCTTGTTAAACACGTTACAGGTTCTGCCTCCCAGCATTAGTGTGTGTATGTGCGTGTGTTCCTCGGTTTTGTCTGCAGTTTAATGATTCTCCAGCCTTACAACCATCTTCTTTTCTGAATAGCTGCAGGCTTTGGTTGTATGCCAGATTCCCATGTGTTTTTCTATGTTCATGTTTTTAATGTGGGAGTTTTGGTGAGAAGTCAGCGCAAAGTTGTTCCATCTATGTGATGCCTGTTTTTTGTTTTGTTTTTAAGCCGTCTCATCTGCTATGAGCCTCAAAGTCTTCCCTTATGGAGTACATCTGTTGTTGGAGCTGGTGTTATTCAGCAGGGAGTCAAGGACTGCAATCTGTTCAAGGAAATGTCGGAAATCTTATAATAATAATAAGTGATCAATCAAATACTTATTGCAAAATAAGATGTAGTTATGCATTAAAGCCATTTTCTTGCACAAAGGTAAGATCAAACAGAAATCTATTGATCACTATCTTGCAGGGTAGTTTAGTTTTAATCCACCACAAAAAAGAAGAGGAAACCTTCCAGAGGCAGTTCCTACGAGCCTAGCTTCGGAGAAGAAAGGCCAAGAGAGAGAAAGCCACACAAGGAAAGTAAGATGTCATAATGTGCCTGATTCTAGCAGAAAGACTTCTCAGTCTCCCTAATTGAGAGCGGTAACAGCTCTACCTTTTTAACACAATAGCATCTCCTGTTGATGTGCGCGTTAGTGCGAGTAAGCTCTATTACCTCCCCAGCATCTGTTGTGCAGCCCAGGGTTATTCTTAAAAACTTAATGACACAAAAGACGCGAGGAAGCATGGGAAAAAAAGGGGGTGAGCACGTGCTTATGAAAACGTGCTTTTTAGAGAGAAGAGAGTAGAGCGAGAGAAAGAGAGCGAAGAACACTAATTGAGTGTAAAACCACTGAAAAATGTTTGTGTGTGTGCCTGCTTGTTTGGATTTCAAAGGAAATGTGAGAAATTGAAATTAAAAACCCAAAAGACTAGAAATAAGAAAAGTTGGTGAGGGTTTTTAAAGATCCGATGTGGGGAAATGTTAACAAAAAATGTTTGGTTTTGAACCACAAAATAACAAAAACAGGAAATAGAAAAAAAAAGGAACAAAGGCACAAATAATAGACCCATGTTGGCCAAATGGCACTTATGGTGAGTTTGGAGGTAGAAATCAGCCAATGCATTTCTTTCCCTGTGGGTGGTGTTGGTCTGTTTGCTTTATAATAGCACTGATAATGATTTGGCAGCCAGGAGATTCTGTGTATACCCATCTGAAACAAAACAGGCCGGTGTGTGTGCATATATGCAACGATGATGATGTGTGTGTAATGTCATTAGACACATTTGTATGTGTTGCTTGGATGCTGGTGTTTTCAATTAATGCAGCTAAGCTGTAGGGTGTAGCTGAATACAGCTTTGTCTGCAGAATGCCTAGAAAGTAGCTTACAAACAGTGCAATAATAGCAGCCAGTTGCCGCAGGTGCAAAACTATTTCACACAAGCTTTATGCAAATGAGCAGATGTTGCAGTGGGATTGATCAAATGTCCTATAAACATCAGACAAATTCAAAACGTTTTTTTTGGTTGCGGTTTTAAAGTTTATAGTGCATTCGAATAGATTCGTTGGATCCACACACACACAAACACAAGCGCACATGTTACGATCATGACCTAATCAAGTTGTGTCGGTGTGGTAACATCATTAGGGGAATTAGTTTCACACTGATCTGTTGGCAAATATAAAGATACACTTCACTTAATGATACAGATGACATGCCCCTCTGCTTCCTTGCTCTCTATCTTTCCATCCTCTCTCATTTGACCTTTTAGCCAGGTTGTTAAAAATTCTGCTACATTACACCAATTACGGCAGCCGAGCTCCAGACCTCGCCGCTTCTTCCCCACTTCTTTCCTTTCCTTTCCTTTTCTTTCCTTTCCTTTTCCTTTTCCTTTCCTTTCCTTTCATTACCACTCTCTTTAATGAGCGGGAGCTAAATGAAATGTTTCCAAACACCGTGTTAATGAAACATAGACAGATTTATTAGTCATAACTCTTCAGCTAATCTTCCTAATAATTAGCCCGAGCTGAGTAAATCTTTTTACACTGTGGTCAGAGAATGCTGAGCCGGTGCCAGACACGACCAAGATGTAAAGAGAGAGAGAGAGAGAGAGAGAGAGAGAGAGAGAGAGAGAGAGAGGAAGAAATGTTACTCACT